ACAAATTAATTCTCACCTATAATATATCATAACGTTGTTAATAAGTAAATACATCCATTTTAGGCACAGTATCGACTAAATTTACTTTAAATATACTAATAGAATGTAGATAAAGAGTAGAAGATATACTAAACCATAGTCAATGAAATATTTCCAGATAAAGTTATCGATGATATCAAAAGCGCCGAGTTGACTTAGCGAATCCGAACTCGAGGTACCAACATTCGGGTACCTCACCATCCGATGTCAGATGAAATTGGTACCAAGGCAGACAACGCCAATGACGGTGATAAAGTAACTAATGAACAAAGAAACGATACCGAAACTAAGGAACCAAAAGAGAGTAAACAGAGATCTGTTTCTTTTAATAGAGACGTGCACGTTAAAAGATTTGGTGAGTCCATGCTCATTAGGAGGTTTATTTTTATGGATTTCGTCCAATTCAGATAATATTGCGTTAACAAGAGACTAAATAATTCTATCTTAACTCTATTTTCCTAGATTGTAAAATAAGATAGTAAATACTGTTTGGATTATAAATAATAGTCTTTTAACTATTAGCTAAATCAGACGATTTGATAACCTCTTTCTTTTGGGAAGTCGGTTAAAAATGGGGCCTGTCCCACCAAATTGTAAACTGTCTGATAATAATCCAATGTGTAAAATATGTGATGGAATTTCGAATTTTGTTCCCTTATCTGACAGTGACGTGATTTTTAAGCTATCTGAGCCTCTATCAGCCAGTGGTGGAACAGGCCCTAAATCATTTAAAGTTAAAGTCAATATTTATCAAAAACGTATATAGGTAAATTGAATGAAAAATATTTAAAATGCTTTAAAGTTTGCAAAAATAAATAGTCTTTATAAATAAATAATAATATCGCAATAGTTGCAAACTATTTGTTGCAAATTGTTGATGATTGGTACGAAATTCATAAATTTCTCCTCTAACTGAGTTTCATATTAGGTTATGCTACTAAAAAGCATGGGACGCATCAGCATAACCTTTAAAACGCTACAGCCAAATATAATAAAATATTAAATTGGTTGTTTTGTAACTAACTAATCATCAAATAACCACGCATTGGAGTGGTTAACAGACGTGAATTTCACACGTGATTCTTGAAGAAATATTTCTATCTCTGTTTATTCTAAAGGGAATGAAAGAGATGGCGATATCGCAAGTTTTATAGTGGAAATTCAGTAACAGATGTAGAAATAACAAATGACTACCGTCTCATAGTAGCATCTTCTTGGTATCTTCTGTAATGACTAACTATGACCGATTTGTGACTAATTCTAACAGAAATCTCTTATCTTTTTTATGTTGCACAATCTCAACGATAGATGGCCCTGACCGTAATGTTGGCAATTTATCTTTTTCTATATTCTTGTGTATATCTTTTTCCGCTTTATCTATAGCTTGTAGTGATCAATGTTTTTCCGTCTTTTTAGATATTAATGTATGAACTGCAATTTCCTATTGATTACGTTACTTCTTACGTCATATATTTTTAGGGGGTCACGTTGTTTGGCATTGTTTGAACGATCAAAGCTTGCATACGAAAGCAATCCTCCTAAATTAAACCCCTTTAATTAATCGATGCATAATATATTGAATAATGTATCTTATATACTCGTATAAAAGATAATGTTTTTTTGCTTAACACAATGCTAAGATTTCAATAAATCTAGCATCCGGGTTTCAATCTTTAATTTTACAGTACATTTACAACCGGAGTTCAATCCTCAACCTAGACCGTAGATTCATTACTAATTCGAGGAACACTAAAACATAGAATAATGACAAAAATGTATAAATAGCTTCTGTTACATAGCGTCAAAGAATACCATACCTTAGTGCAGACGAACCTTACTAATGTTATAAGTGCGAAAGTTGAAAGAAATTCGGCAAAGATGCGGTGGTTAATCTGGAAGAACACATAGGCTATCTACCTTTATATTTGAATTCCAATCCGAGTCGCGGGTGAAAGCTAGTCTATAATCAGCGGACTTTAGTTTTATCTATACTTAATAATATAAAGAGGAAAACTTTGTTTGATTGTAATGAAATAACTCAAAAACTACTGTTCCGATTTTAAAAATTCCTTCACAAAGCTACGTTGTCAGTGAGTAACATAGGCTATGTTTTATATTATTTTTTAATTTCTCACGAACGGAGTCGCGGTCGAAAACAATAGTACTATAAAAAATATGTTAAGCACAAACTTAAGGAAAATATCTGACATGTTGCTAACAATGTAGATATAGCCGCGTCAAAAATTGCAATTTGTTATTCAAACGGTGACAATGAATGATGGTACTGAAGGTCAAGATGTCCACGATACAAAGACTTACATATAAATAGCGTAAAACATAATCGTTCATTGTAGGGATCAATGCCGTTCGAAAGATACTTTATATGGAGGCTATTGTTACGTTACGTTGTCGATGGATCTTGAATTACAATTGAAGGAGAAAGGAATCACATTCATTCGTCAATCACGCAGAGTTACTGAAACTTTTTGTGCACACATTGATATTGGAAATGTCCATCAACTAACAGTTGTCTTACTTAAATTCGGAAACTGGTTGTCATGTTTACAGTTGCATTTAGGACCATTGGCAATTACGGTGAAGGTCTTGATCAGCCACTAAAATGATCCCGAGTAGACGATGAGCAACAGGCATAATTCTGTCTCGTATAGTATAGAGGGTTCAAGTGCGTTCCTCGAGAATCCCTCTCCTATTGCACTAGCCTCCGAGGTTATAGTACGAAAAACACCCACAGGACTTTCCCGTAGAAGAAAGGGTATCTTTCAGTTATTTTGTTCATGATATAAAACCCTAAGGTGTATTATTAAAGCGTATATCATTGTCGATTCATTTTACCGACTTCATTCAGTAGTGCTTTTTGAATTTGCTAAACACATCAACTAAATCAGCAAGTGAACATAATAGGCATAAAATAGTGTTTATTACTGCTAAAACGTCATGCCAGAAATAATTGATTTTTGTTAATATTGCATGACCATCGATCAATTTAAACAATTGAGGTCAATGTCACTCAGTACATGTTAATAGGTTGTAAATGCTAAATTTGACCGAACCGAATCTGTATAAATGATATCTTTAACAGATAATTTCCAGTCATAGCCAGTAGCATAATATTTTGTAAACAAAAAAAGCATGTAATTAAAAAACTTCTCAATCTCTAATCATACTTCATACTCATAACATAAATGGGAAAGTTTAGATGGATGGATGTTTGTTAGAGTTTGTAACCTAAACAGCTGAACGGATTTCGATGAAACTTGCCATAGTTGTTATAGTCTGGAAGAATACATAGGCTACTTACTATTGCTACTTACTTTTGTTTTTTTTTTAAATTTTACTCGGACGGAGTCGCAGGCGAAAGCTAGCTTGCCTACAAAATTGGCTATTTAGCTATTCTTATACAATATCAAGCAAAACTTGACTGAGATAACTTTGTTCGTGACATTGACAAACAATTCTTACTTATAGATAACTACACAAAAGAACTGAATTAAACCAAAGACAATAAATCCATGTTTTTTTAAACTCCACCCGTACTTAATCAAAGTTAAACAACTTAATCCGGAACGTAAAGTTTTTTCCGCAATAAAAACAACAATGCGATATTTAAATCGTGAGACTTGTATTATTTGAAGTGAATTCAGACAAGAACTTCGTAGAAAATTTACATTAGCATTCGTTAAAAGTTAGTTTGAAACGTTTAATATAAAAATTAGAGTTCTTAGGGTTGTCATCCTCGAATATTTGAATACTAATTAAAAAATTGGGAACCAATGTAAAAGCAATATGACATTTTGTAATCAACCAGTAGCTACCACCCATCAGTAGTAACCCATGGCGCCACCGACCCTCGGGTCATACAGGCAGAATCGCGGGATGGCGCACACGGTCTGACCGCATGCACCTTCTTGACTCCCTACAAGTCATTTTGTAATCATCAAGAAGACAAGAGAATCTGGATTCGTTAAATTGGAGAAGCGACCGCTGATCTTAGATATCTAGAATTGCATACGATGATAGCCTGCCTACCAACAATCGACGGAGTAGGGGACGCAGACAGAGGTTATTTGCCCTTCATATCGTCCCATCCTCCAAATAAATGCAATTTATAGAGCTTTATTTAATTTTAAAAGAAGGAAGGATTTTGCTATTGATATAGTTAAAATTTGACTCTCAAATCCAATGCTAAAATTCTCCAAACTGATTTTTGAATTGTAGAATTAAGTAAATATGTATGAAGTCGTAAATTTTAAGGTCGTAAAACTTAGTAGAAATCGTGTTAATATTAATAGATGAAATCACGAGAAAATGTAGTATAAACATGAGGCCTTCTGAGATTGCCCAAGACAACATAAATTATGTATGACTTACAAAGACAGCATTTATATACATGTGTTAAACGAAGTTTTTTTTTAATAGTTAATAATACCTTTTTTTAGAAGATTGATTGTTCTGTTATCTATCTTCTATCCTATTCATATAATAAAATTGGAGTGGCTGTTTGTAATATCAAAAGAAAAAAGGCAAATTTCGAGAAGATGATGTATTTCCGTCGCTGATACCGAAAATCGCATTTAAAAAAATGTTGTCTGTTTGTCTGTCTGTCTGTCCCCAAGCCGCGTTTGTTCCGGATTGTCTTACACGGCTGGGCCAACATATTATAGGCTACTTTTTTATCTTAATATTGCGTGGACTAAGTCGCGGACGACAGCTAGTTCACAATAAAACGTGGAAATATTTAAAACATTTCGTTCAATAAATATAACTAACGAATGACAATGACACTTTTTATATCTTTTCAAATCTATTTTTATTGAAACGCCTTGGAAAATTATCAATAACTTAAAGCCCCTTCACTTCTTATCTATCAAATGTTACTTGTTGCTCTACAATTAGAATATTAAAATAGAACTACTTTGCAACTCTGTAAATTAATTGTAATGTACATTGGTACAGTAAAAATAACCTATATACATTGCTTAACATTTAAAACACATCTAATTATATGTCGAATATAAAGCTCAACAACTCAATTATCGTAATTTGCATATCTTCTTTATAGATTCTTAAATGTATTGTTAGACAACGTTTATCAAATGTATCATCTAATATTGGCCCAAGGATAACACCCTGAGGCATTCCTAACAGAACATGAGCGGAGGCGAGCTGATTTTAATCAGACGTTGTTCAGACGATCCTAAAAAGGTCATCACTGACGAATAAGACATATGGATCGATTCTAAGTCGGCAATGACCTGAACATCTCGTCCATATGTGGTAGACTCTTTCGAAAGCTTTATATAGTTCAGCGCCACACCTATATGTTAATCCAAATTG